CGCGAGCGAGAGAAGGAGGCATTTATATTTAGACGATGAAAACGCAAGTCGGTGGCAAGGCCCTTTCTTTCATCCTCTTTATCTACCTTTTTCCTCGTTCTTCTTTCCAGGCCGGTTACGAGGCGGGCCCCACGGCGTCAACCATCCGTGTCAGGACGTCGACCTCGTCGAGCATTTGCCCGAGAGCCACCCAGCAGCGGCCCTACTCCCTCTGCTTGGCTGGCTTTCGCTTTGCCCCGCTAGTTTATTTATTTGCTTATCTATTCCTTGGTCCCCTGACTCTCGTCTACTTCTCTTACCCTCTCTTTCTATCTGCTCTTTCTCCCTCTACACATATATACATATGAGAAAGAGAGAGAGAGCAAGGGGAATAACCACCGACGGATACCGCAGGATAGAGAGCAGCGTCGATCGCTAGATATCAAGGAGAGAAGTCTCGAGCAGAGGGGACTCGGATAATCGATATACCGACTAACGTACCCACTAGACGACCTGGCAATTTGCTTAGATCGTAGATATATGCTGTTCGAGAGTATCAGAGAGAGCGCGCGCCCCGTTTAAAATAAACCGCTCTCTCGCGTAGACGGCGCGCGCATACTCTGAATCTCGGCGACCTAGACGAGTCGTAAACGACGACGCGACATTTCGATTCGCCGATGACCCTGCGACACTTTCGCGTCACATTCCTCCCCCCTCGCCCCTCGCCCCGTTCCGAAGCGGACCTCGAGGTCGCGGTCTGTTTCCGTTGAAAAGAGAACGCAGCGAACGCGCATCATCTCACGACTCGCGTGAGATCGGCGAATAGAAGAAGAAGAATCGACGATCGGATGGACACTGCGAGGGGGATTTCGCCCGAGAAGGAGGGACGACACAATCCAGAATCACGTTTGCGATCGATCGAAAAACGCGAAAGAAAAATGAAAAATGAAAGAAGAAAAAAGTCGTCGTGCGTCAACGGCCCGGAGTCCGTTAAACTCTTCACCCTCGCGCGCTTCTTTCTCTCTATCCTCCCGCGATTGCTGAATCACCCTGTACACACAACCCAGCAGCATTCCAACGGACATTCTAATTTTAGCCTTGCTCGTCTCGTCTCCTTCTCTCGCGGCGGACAAGCGCATTCTCTATCCGCGCGCCTTGTAACGCTCTCCACCGTCCGTCCTCGGCCTCTCTCGCTCGCGAGGTTATGTTTTTCATGCAGCCTGCCGAGTGCTGCCCTCTGTCGATGGTACGCGACACTTTCTTCTCTTTTCTCCTTTCCCTCGGCGTCCGCGGGGGCCAGACGAAGCCAGAGAGACGAGCACGAGGGACGGCGGGAAAGAGACGGAGAGCAATGCTCGTATATACCCCCACCGTGTCGCATAAGGCTTTTTGCCGGCTACCAGAAGGGACTACGCCTATTGGCGCAGGCGGCCAGCACTTTTGCCCGTGAATGAGATGTTTTGCATTCGCAGACGCTGAGAAACGTGTCGTGCGCGGGCTGCGCGACTAAATTGGAACACGCTACGGCCCGAGCTGCCTCATCCAGAGAGA